CACACACACACACACTTTCCAACAGGCATGAATATTCACACACACACACACACACACACTCTCCAACAGGCAGGAATATTCACACAACACACACACACACACACTCTGACAAGCAGGAGTATTCACATAACGCACACACACACACACACACACACACACACACACACACACACACACACACACACACACACACACACACACACACACACACACACACACACACACACACACACACTTTCAAACAGGCTGGAATATTCGCATAAAACACACACACACACACTCCGACAAGCAGGAGTATTCACATCACACAAGCATTCTGACATGGTGGATTGTTCACACACACACACACACACACTCTGCCAGACAGAAATATTGACACACACACACACACACACACACACACACACACACACCACACACACACACACACAGACGGAGCTGTGGACAGCCTGTAGTGTGATTTTAATCATGTTTTAATGCTGAATTGTGATGTAAAGCTGAATTTTAAACTGATGTCTGTATTGTTTATTAAGTGTTTAATCTGTCCAAAACTCAATCATATTTCTGAGCTGAAATCCTCGGAGTGTGTTCATCACACCTGTATGACTTTATAATATTAAACGGGTTGAAATATCTCTTGCTTTGTGCCTCATAATAAACATAAAATGATGTTTAAAGCCAATAATGAAGTGTGTCTGACAGGAGTAAGATTGGCCATACATTAGTGCTAGTGCTTATTACATAGTAATTACTTTACAAATAAATTATCAATGAAAAATAAGTTTAATATTTCTATTTTAATTTCATATGCCTATTCATGACATGCAAACACTCGCACATGAATATTCATATCTCATTAAAATTCTGGATGGCCCATTATGATTTTTTTAATGGGGTTTAATGTGTTTTAGATTATATTTTGGGGGACTGTTGGTCAGTTACTTTAGCTGAAAAACAGAAAATAAGATGTTCTGATGTGCATGTTTAATCTAAATCATTCATAATCATATTTCTGACAGCTGAAATCCTCTGAGTGTATTCATCACTCACACTAACAATATTAAATAGGTTGATGTATTTCTTGATTTTAGCCTCTCATGCATCAAAATTTAGGATATAAAAAAGCAAAATGGTGTTTAATAATTGTGTGAAATAATTTAGGCATTAGTTGGTGTAAAATACTTATAAATAAATAAAATGCTGATGAAATAATGAATTGAGTGAACTTTCCACGTTCACTGGCCACTTTATTAGGTACACCTGTCCAACTGCTCAACACATTTCTAATCAGCCAATCACATGGCAGCAACTCAGTGCATGTAGACATGGTCAAGACGATCTGCTGCAGTTCAAACTGAGGATCAGAATGGGGAATAAAGGGGATTTAAGTGACTTTGAATGTGGCATGGTTGTTGGTGCCAGACGGGCTGCTCTGAGTATTTCAGAAACTGCTGATCTACTGGGATTTTCATGCACAACCATCTCTAGGGTTTACAGGGAATGGTCCGACAAAGAGGAAATATCCAGTGAGCGGCAGTTCTGTGGGCGCAAATGCCTTGTTGTTGCCAGAGGTCAGAGGAGAATGGCCAGACTGGTTCCAGCTGATAGAAAGGCAACAGTAACTCAAATGACCACTGCAGAAGAGCATCTCTGAACGCTCAACACGTCCAACCTTAAGGCGGATGGGCTACAGCAGCAGAAGAGCACACTGGGTGCCGCTCCTGTCAGCTAAGAACAGGAAACTGAGGCTACAATTCACACAGACTCACCAAAACTGGACAATAGAAGATTGGAGAAACGTTGCTGCTCTGATGAGTCTCCATTTCTGCTGCCATGTTCAGATGATCGGGTCAGAATTTAGCATCAGCAACATGAAAGCATGGATCCATCCTGCCTTGTATCAGCGGTTCAGGCTGGTGGTGGGGGTGTAATGGTGTGGGGGAGATTTTCTTGGCACTCTTTGGGTCCATTAGTACCAATTGAGCATCAACGCCACAGCCTACCTGAGTACTGTTGCTGACCATGTCCATCCCTTTATGAGCACAGTGTCTCCATCTTCTGATGGCTACTTCCAGCAGGATAACGCACCATAATGTCATAAAGCCTGAATCTTCTCAGACTGGTTTCTTGAACATGACGATGAGTTCACTGTACTCAAATGACCTCCACAGTCACCAGAGCTCAATCCAATAGAGCAGCTTTGGGATGTGGTGGAACGGGAGATTGGCATCATGGATGTGCAGCCGACAAATCTGCAGCAACTGTGTGATGCTATCATGTCAATATGGAGCAAAATCTCTGAGGAATATTTCCAGTAGCTTGTTGAATCTCTGACACGAAGGATTAAGGCAGATCTGACGGTAAAAGGGGATCCAACCCGCTACTAGTAAGGTGTACCTAATAAAGTGGCCAGTGAGTGTGTATGTTTATATAAATTTCAATATTAATTGTGTACTTAAAAATTGTAACCTTTATATACAGGATCTAGTCAGATTTCAACTTAATAAAGAGCGATTCACATCTGAACATGTTTTGTTGCATGATTAAATCTAAATGCATCATTAATTTAGATGAAAAGCAGCTGGTCGTTGCTGCATGATCTCAGTGTTATTGTTCCTCATGAACTGTAAATCAGTGAATTGTACCGCAAGCTTAAAATAGCGCTGGAGTTTCTTGGAGTGATTGAGGTGTAAATGCTTGTAATGGAGCCAGGAAATTCATCCAGAAGCGGATCCATGTGTGCCACGAGTCTAATGTTTCACAGCCACTGCTTTATATACATTCAGAATACTCAAACATACGCTGAACGAGATGATTCAGTGCATTTACTACATTTGTTTTAAGCTAAGTCGATGCAGGCAATTAATACGGGCTGAATTGAAACGGATTAAGAACACTACTACTTTTAATTTGTTTAAATTCCGCCTATATCAATTGTTTGCAACCACTTAGCTAAAAACAAATGTCGTAAATCCAATTAATAATGTATTCAGTGCATGAGTAAGAACAAAAAGAGAGGACAGAAATGAGCATGGTCATGTGTAATCCGCTAAAGGCATGCAAACGCAGCATGGTGTGTGTTACTGTTCCCCATGTGCTGATATTGTTGCATCAGGTGGTATTTTAACACTCATGTCATCTTGAGCCCTAAACATACAGCAACATGTGCAGCAGCTCCAGACCTGCAGGACATGAGGAAGAGCAGCCGTCAATGAATGAAGACAGACGCTCGCATAAGCACACCACACTGTAAGTACAAACATACTGTGTTATATTTAACTATAATATAGTCACATCTCAGTGTTCGGTGGGCTTTTGTTTGGTTTGATTTTAGCAAGTATTTAAGATTAACACTTTAATACAGTGCTCCATGAGTTCATGTATATACTCACATGAGCAAACCATTAGGGATGCATCTATTATGGTATTTATTCATGTTTGGAAATGTTCATATTAACTCTGTGCATCAACTAATGTTATCAAGCGTGATTTCAGATTTGAATAATAATGCATTGGAATATGTTGAACTGATTAATAAATGCTGCACAACATTATTCATACTTGATGTTAGTAAATGCATTAACTAATGGACTGATATTCTAAAGTGTTAATTAAGCAAATGCATGGAGGTTTTAATAGAGAAATTTAATTGGGTGATGCTAAAATATTGGCTCATAATGTGTTTACTAATATGAACCATCCATTGCTTCTATTCACAGTATTTATTCATATTTGTTAGCGTTAACTGTTGGTTCTTGTTCACTTTTAGTGCTTTAACTAATGCCTATATTGAAACTATATCACTCAGATCACGTTAGTAAGTTGAACTAGTAGATGTGTATTTAAAGTGTTACAAAAATATGTACAGTGTTGGGGTGTAACTAGTTATATGTAACGGCGTTATGTAATTTAATTACAAAATAAAAGTAACAGTAATTCATTACAGTTACTGAGAATAAATGTGTAATTAAATTACAGTGACTTGTGAAAATGTTAAAGATTTTGAATGGGGTTACATCTAAAAATAATTGTTTTTAAATCTGGTATATGTTGAATAAGATTAATCTGTTGCTTTGCCTGTTTTTGATATGCACGATGCCTTCTGCTTAGGCCATTTATTAAAGCGCTGCTGTTCTGATGCTTTTGATTCGCGGCGCACCCGCAGGCATAAATCCCGGGGGGAACATGTCCTCGGTTTAAACGCTTAAAAATGATTCAGTTGTAAATGTCCATTAGAAACTTAAAAATCATCAAAAAGGTATCAAATGTAATTAGTTTACTATTTTTAAAGTAATCGAAAAGTAGTGTAACTTATTTTAAATAGGGTAATTTGTAATCTGTAATCTATTACATTTCCAAAGTAACCTCCTATGTGTGTGTGTGTTTGTGTGTGTGTGTGTGTATATATGCAACATGGTGCAGCTTAATATCAACTTCGATATCAATGGCCCTGGCAGTAAGTATATATTTATTTAATATATACACTATTGGTCAAAAGTTTGGTGTCAGTACGATTTTTAAATTAATGCATTTATTTAAGCTTATTTGAGCTTCTCCTGCTCACCGATGCTGCGTTTATTTAATCAAAAATACTTTAAAATTGTGAAATGTTATTGCACTAAAACTGTTCAACAGTAGTTTATAATTTAATTTAATCATTTATTCATGTATTTTCAGCTTACTACAGTCTTCAGTCACATGATCCTCCAGAAATCACTCTAATATTAATTATTGTTATTATTATTATTATTATTATTATTATTATTATAATTCATAGTAATAAAAACAATAATGAGTGGAGTAATAATTTTATTTAAAACTACATACAATAAGTAAGCAGTCATTTAAAATTTTATTATATGGCTACAAGGTGGCTCAGTGGTTAGGAATGTTGCCTTACAACAAGAATGTCTCTGGTTCGAGTTCCGGCTGGGTCAGTTGGCGTTTCAGTGTGGAGTTTGCATGTTCTCCTCGTTTTGGCGTGGGTTTCCTCTGGGTGCTCCGGTTTCCTCCACAGTCCAAACACATGCGCTGTAGAGGAATTGGGTAAGCTAAATTGACCGTAGTGTGTGAAAGTGAGTGTTTGGGTGTTTCCCAGTACTAGGTTGCAGCTGGAAGGGCATTCGCTGTGTAAATATTCACTGTGTTTGCTGCGCTGGAATAATTGGCGGTTCATTCCACTGTGGCGACCTATATATATATATATATATATATATATATATATATATATATATATATATATATATATATATATATATATATATATATATATACACACAACACACA